TACTGGTTGGTGAAACCAGACTCCATTTATTTAGGTACTTGTGTACTGTTTACCAAATACCTTCTTAAGTATGTATACCTCTTTAGTCAGACATAGAAATATCAGTCTTGAAGTCATCAATAATAGGAAACTTAAGTTATAAAGTACTCTAAATGCTAATTATATTTTGGTTTAAAAAATTATATTCAGCAATCCATATTCTATTCCTTTCCTCTTGCTATGAAGCTCTTGATATTTTTGTTTTTCTGGGTATTTGCCATTTTTTTATATAGTTTTAATAAAAATTGGTTTTTTTTTCTTCTTTAGTCATCACCTGAAGATGAAGGCCAGGCTAGAACACTTGACACAGCAAAAGAAGTGGAGGTGATTATATTTTATCCTTTATAAAAAATATTTAAATGGAGATTAAGCTAAAAGGCCTGAATGATAAAGCTTTATTTTAAAATTTTAAAAGAAAAATATTTATTGAGTATCTCCTGAATTAAAATAACTCTCTTTGCCCATGGGGAATGTAGGAGTAGCTAGTGCGGTAGACAAGTGTGTAATCCAGGGAGCCGAACGCAGTCACCATACAGGGTAATGTTTATGGTGTGGGAACCCAGGTTGGAGGCACTCACTGCTTTAGAGAGCTGAGGAGGTGCTCACAGAGAGGGTGGCAGTGCCCTGGGTCTAGAAGGATGAAGAGGCATTCTCCCAGCAGGGAGGCCCAAGCATCTGAGGTGGCCAGACCTGCATGTGTGATGACATAAATACACCTGAAAGAGCAGAGCACTGTGCGGAAAGCTCAGAGTGGATGACTGCAGGTGCCTGGGGAGAGGGGCAGAGGTGTGAGGGCCAGATGATGAGGAGTCTCAGGTGCACTGCAGAAGTGGAGCTTTGACCCTAGACAATAGGATGCTGTGATAGAGGCTGGAGGGGAGGGGACCAGTGAAAAACTGTAGAACCTGTCTAGCAAAGAAAATAACTAGCTTAACAGTGTAAAGGAAGAGGATAAAGATACACAGGGAAGAAAAACTATAAAACTAAAATTGACCGGAGCTGGTGTGTGAGATGGATAATTGTATTGTTAGCAGACATCGAAAGTAGGGGAAAGGAGCACAGGTTTGGCAGGGAAGGAAATTACATTGTTTCGGATGTGTGATTTGGGACCTTGTGGAGGTGGAGGCCTGGGGTGTGTGGACCTGGAAGTCATTGGCATGAAGGTAGAATGTTACTATAGTCCTTAAAGGAGACAGGCTCTCTGGGGAGAACATGTAGACTGGGTAAAGGCCCCGAGACAGCCTTGGGGTAGACCAATAAGTAGCTCAGGTAGGAAAACCATGAAGTGATCTGCAGGAAAGAGCTCAGCTGTGTCAGGTGCCGCACAGAAACCCAGCAGGCGGAGACCAGCGACTGGCATTTGTAGCCTTCACCAGAGCAACTTCAGTAAAATGGTGGGGATGAAAAGTAGATTTCAGTGAATTCAATGAGTGGAGGAAAACTGGGACATTTAAGATTGGACAGACATTAAGGCCTGTAACCAAAGAGAGAGAAAACTTAAAGATGAGCTCAAGTGAAGGTAGTTGCAGGTGTAGATGGTATTTACAAAACCATGTTGTCCTCAAGGGAAGAGGAGTCTGGCAAGGTCATGAGCCTAGTGAGGTGGCTGGAAGGGAAAGAGATCCCCAGGCTGGGGAAGGATGCTGGGTGAGAGGTACAAAGTCAGAACTGAAGTGGCGGCCCTAGCTCTGTGCTGACAGAGCTGCTCTCCACCGCACACTCCACATGCAGGCGGGTATTCAGTGAGCTTGGAGTGCAACACTGAAGTTTAAATGGAGCCATTAACTTGTGGTTACTGTTTATCTGGGTCGATCTATTCTTTGAAAGTATTGTTGAGGTTATGGAAAGTCTGAGTCTTGAGATATCAAAAATAAAACTCCACCTTTTTTAGAATTCTGTTTCTCCCAGGCAGTACTGGCAGACTGGATCTGATCTGGAAGGAGACCCAGAAAGTCTTACGTTCCAAATCTATATAGGAGTGCAAGTATATGGACAGGTAGGGGGTGAAACATTGCCTGTGAGCCTCAGAAATGTGACACATTGTCACAATCACCAACTATTCATCAAAATGTAGGCGGTAACAGGGCTGTCGTTCCTTTTATCTTCAGAGTGGTTGCCATACGAAACAAGTGATGCAGATTGTGTAAGATACATCTTTTCATTACAGAGAAGTGTGAGTTTATGGACACTTGTTTGCCGGGATTTGGGTATGGCATTTTGAATCTGGGAAGACATTTTTGTATAGGCATCAAAATTATAACTCCAGAGTGAGTAGGTGGATTAACTTGGCCTACAAACACAAGCCATTGTGCTCATTTCTCATTCTCACACTGTCATGGCTTGGCAAGATCAAATAATTCCTTTTATTTTTCCAAAGCAGATTACAGAAATTGAGCCAACAGGACGTTTAGACTACAGTAATCAGGACAGGCTCACAGCACTGAAAGCAGTAACAAACTTTGGTGCTCCGTTTGAAGTTTTTGACTCAGAAGGTGAGTGTCACTTCTTGACACAGGCAGTCAAGACTTAATTCACGTTAGTAAAGATTACATAGCCATTCACAACAGGAAAATCTTGGCTGGCCATGCTTTAATGAATAATTAAGAATGTCTGTGGTGTCGATTTCATTTGAGGGGAATTACTTCTTTGAGGAGAGAAGACTAACCAATAAACAGCAAAATCCCAGAGCCTAGGACGCAGTGTTACTACACCAGATCAAACACAAGTACATCCATGTTTTCTTCAGTGTGCTGTTTGCCTTCCCACACAGAAGCTGAAGTGTTCCAAAGGAAACTCGATGAGACCACGAGATTGCTCAGGGAGCTCCAGGAAGCCCAGAACGAGCGTCTGAGCACCAGACCCCCTCCCAATATGATCTGCCTCTTGGGCCCCTCATACAGAGAAATGCATCTCGGTATGTCACAGGCACAGGTGGTGGGTGCTGAAAGGACAGGGGGTCCTGAGTGTGGGGCCACCATGAAGCAGTGCTAAAGTGAATACCGTGGACAGTTACTGTTGCATTTAGATAACATTCTTTTGGGTTTTTTTTTTAATTACTTAAAGGAATCATGTTTCAGTACCTGAACTGTTTTGTTTTTTATTTATTTTCTAGCTGAACAAGTGACCAATAATCTTAAAGAACTTGCACAGCAAGTCACTCCAGGTGATATTGTAAGCATGCATGGAGTTCGGAAAGCAATGGGGATTTCCATCCCTTCCCCTGTCATAGGAAACAGCTTTGTAGATTTAACAAAAGGTACGTGCGCTGTGTCTGGGAGGGTGGAGGGCTGTTGTGAGTAAAGGATGTCTGACCTGTCCCTCACATAACATTTGGAAGGTCTCGTCTCCATATGTTGATGACATGTGAACTTCTTATATTAATTCTTTAGACAAGATGGAAACAAAACTAAAGATTTCACACATTTACAAAAAAAACACAACCACAATGATAACCTAATAGTGCAGTACACCTCATCTTTAACCTTGAACATGAAGAAGGGCCCTCAAGAGCTACTCTTCTGGATGCTTTACCTTCACATCCCTTTTTTAATAAAGAAGAAAAAATGCTGAATAAAGTATATTTTTCTTGCAGATTTTGAAGAACCTAGAAAGAGTGATGTTGCTGAGTGTGAACCTGATGGGATTTGAAGCCAGCTGGTATTTGATACTATATATTATGTATAAATTTTTTTCATTCCTAACTTGGAAATGCTTTCAGAGGATATTAAATATTTGTAAATTGTTTTTTTAATTAAACTTTGGAACAATTTTAATGTTCCAGAGATTGGACTTCTATTGAATAATAAAGTTGAACCTGGGACTCAGCTGTGTTATTATGCAAAGCAAATAAGTTACCCCTTGACCTTTCCCTAAGGCTGAATCGGAGGATAAAGTGATAGAGGAAAGCTCAGAAAACAGCCTTTTCATGACCATTAAAAGAAGTCCCCCAAATAATTGAAATCCTTGTTTTTTCACATTTGCTACATTCCTCACTGAATAGTTCCAACGTACCAGATCTCACTTTGATGATTCAAAAAGTGGCCTTGTGAGGAAGGACTCTGACCTGTTGCCATACGGAGCAGGAAGCAGGGGTGGAACTGGAAGTTCTTGCAGATTAGTGGTAGTTCTGCTTATGTTTCACAGGACCGTAGCTACAGAAACTTAAAAAAAAATCCCTATCCAGTAAGATTTTCCATTGTTATGCTATGAAACCAAATACACTTAAAATAATTTTAGAGTTTACTAGCATGTCCCTTGCATACTTGGGGGGCATAATGCCCTGTGTAGAAAGATTAGGTGCTTCCCCCAGACAAAAGCAGACCAGGAGTCTCATAACACTGACTGGTCTAGTGTTCCTTTTTGGTTTATTTTATTCCATTTTTGAGAGTTACTTGAATCCATAGTAAGAGGATAAGCCAAATAAGATAAACTAAATCATCCTAAAATACAAAAGGGAATCACCAAGTGTAATAGAAGGTTTACATTTCTATTGCCAATCACAACCTCTGCCTCAGCCATGCCCCTAAATTAATAAACTCCTACTTTTATCTGAAATATAAAGGACAAGTGCTTGAGCAATTTGAGTAGGATGCTTTTCTGTAACCAGGTACTAGACAGTAGCCTAGTTACTGAGCAAATTAAGTTTAAGACCCTGCTTGAACTATACAGAGCCCTTCTGTAAAACACCCAGACAGGCAGCTGTTTTTTTTTTATTTCCCTGACTCTGAAAACTAAGATTTAGCAAGAATAAGTGGTATAAAGGAAAAGTGATTCTCTCAAGATAGCTAAAGACGTAGTTAAAGTCAAATGCCAAAAGAATTTAAAAGTCAGTTAAATATGTATCAAGTCTTTTTAGGACTTAATCTCTCAAATATAATTTAGGCAGTAATCAATACTTAAATTTTAGATCTACTTAGCTAAGGTAAGTTCTTGAAGACCAAGAAAACACTTTAGGACATTAATGTTTTCCAAATTGCTATTTTAATATATGAAAAGCTAAACAGTAGAAACACTGGTACTTTGTAAAAATGAAATAAAATTTTGAAACAAATATTACAGATCTATAAATACTCAGTATACAGAATAACCCCTAGTTTTCTGCATGTACCTTCTCAAAGCATATTTCTGTACACTGACCTATTATATACATAATCTGTATAATGGTTAATGATCTTCTCTGTTAGAAAAATTTCTTAATAACTAAAACAAAAAACCTCCAGTATGATTTTCACTAGAGTCAGTGAGGCCACCTCAGTAGAAACTTTTAAGTCCTTGACCAATAGAGAAGGTCAGTGTTAGAAAAGATAACTGTCCTGTCAAAAACAAAGTGATACCTATAAAGAAATGGCTTAATAATTGGAAAGCATTTTAAAAAAATAACTGCAAGTGATTTTTATTGTCAGTTATACACTGTGATCTGAATATCAAAACTAAAAACTTACAAAATATTCTTACCTTAGTAATGTTTAATTGGCAATAAAGAAAAATACATAAATGGTTCCCAATTGAGATTTCTGTTGCTGGAGAAAAAAATAACTTGAATATTGCAAGAGCATAAACAGGTCCACCTCACAGAGGCCCAGGCTCACTGATGTGTTTACACTATTTGAGCAACAGAACCTTCCTGACTTCCCAGAAGAGCCCTGCTGAGCAGCCCTGGTCGCCACTTTTAAGAGTATTAACTTTCAGTACAGTACTCACCTGAATGTGGGAAGTCGGTGTGTAAGGCTATTCCCTTACCAGCACTTTTGCCATGACATCCCTTTATACAATGAATACTTGCAATTTATTCGTACCTATTCCAGTTGCATGCAGTGCATCAGAGCTGCCACAGGCCAACTCAGAACCTTTGTGCAAATTAGAATAAGCCCCATTCTAGGGCTGATAAGCCCCAAAGTGAAACACGGCACCAGCAGACAGCAGGTTCATTGGCAGCGCCTCCCTGCCATTGGCTGCACACGCCCGTCCTCTGCAGCCAGGGCACAGCGCATCCCAGCCCACCTGTTGGCAAGCCTGTACATCTCTATAGTATCGGGGGTTACAGGTGACTTCCAGCTAAGACACCCTGCTATATAGTGAAATTCAACTGTATTTGAAATCCTGGGAATACTCTGGTTGTGAGGCAGTGAAGTCAGTTCAGAAAAAGAGGGAATGGGCAGTTTGGTTACTCCTCCCCTTGAAACGCAGGTTGACTTGATTGTTTTGGGGCTGAAGCACTAGAAGACGCCATCCCACAAACTTGCTTATTGTGCTTGCCTTGATTCATTTGGTTCAGAACAGACAGAAGAGCACTTACGAGAGGCTGGCTTCCCAGGTGCAAAACCTATATACACGCTTACGCTGAGTTGAGTGCATCCTTTCTGTTCTGAAGCTCTTCAGACATGGCTGTGAGGACTATGGAGAGGAGAGGAAAGAAGTACTACAGGTGGTCCAGATTCTCTCCGTGCAGACTCCATTCCCTTCCAGTATAAAAACTGGGATAGAGCTGCCAATTGTAGAGGAGCACTAGAAAACAATGCATGAGTAGTCAGGGAAGGGCTAAGAGATTATATGCCTAATTTTACAGATTCTTCACTTATTGAACTGTTCCTCAAAATGCTAGCTCCATGTCTGTATGAGTCAAGCCAACGCTACACCGTTCCTCACCTTGCCGTGAGCCACATTCCTCAGAGCCTCTGCCCCCAGCTGGACTCATCCCATAAGCTGGTACTGGGCAGTAGTCCTACTTATATGTCAGTGGTTAAAAAGGCAAAGAATAGACTGGAGGGAAAAAATTTTGCCTATCATCTAAGAGGTCATTAAAAAGGATAGAGCCTCCATTAATGTATCCATGGAAAACATACATGTCAGAAGTGGGAAAAGGTATAATAACTCTGTCCTTTGTGGCTTTCCTCCCTAATGTCTGAAACCATTTATGGATTGGAACCACCCTTTTTAGCCAAAATACAGAATCCTGTAGCTAGTTCAAGGAGAAACAAGTCCCCAACCCATCCTAGACAACATGTCATAGTCCTGTACCTAGAGGAGACACATCTGACACATCGCACTGATGCAGCTCACAGGCCACGAGGGGGATGTGTGTTCAGGTCATGCTCTTAAGATCCCCTCCACAGCACCAGGGGAATGAGGATGTAAAAGGTAAGTGGGCCTCGTCCTGCCGTGCTGGGGGCCGCACTGCAGACTCCAGAGGTACAGAGGCTCTGGCTGCCTGTGCAAGGCAGGCTCACTGGTCACCTCGAACCGGAGTCTGGTGTACATGCCAGCACACCTCCAGTGTTGAATCCAGCCCTCCGTCGGGGTGGTGATGCCAAACCGTCAGGGCGCCTTCATACTCGCATGGGGCTGAGTCTTGCCCTCTGCCTACTCGGGGGAGGTCAGCTTCCAGCATGTTCTGCAGCTACCAGAAGCCCTCAGTTCAGCCCCAACCCTTGAAACTTGGCAGTATCTGTACAGACAAAGTAAGTCCTCAGTTCGCCTTTGCCTTTGACATTGATCAGTCCACGGCATTCACAAGAATAACCTAGTCCCTGGAGGACAGTACTTGTCTCTTCAGTAACCTGAAAAGGGAGAGAAACCTGTTGGCGGGTGGGTGCAGGTGGACAGAAAACAGCCCCCGAGCAGCCTGCACACTCGGGTTCCCAAAAGTACTGTATGGCTATAGAGTCCCAGCTGACTGATTCCCAGGCCCCCTCACCTCCGCAAAGTTCTCTCCCCATGGTCACCATTTCCTCAGATGGCTTTTTACCTGGATTTTCCCAAGTTCTCCAGTGCTCTCCATGCGGCTGGCCACGTTGACTGTGTTTCCCCAGATGTCATACTGAGGTTTTCGTGCTCCAATCACTCCAGCAATCACAGGTCCGTGGTTTATGCCTGAAGATAATGTTTCCAGTTGGCAGATCACAGAGGCAAAGCCTTAGGCCCTTACAGGAGGCCACAGAATCCTCCAGTGACCACAGAAGGCTGACAAGACACAACTAAAATGAAGGTTGGAACAGCACCTCCCAAGTCTGATGGGAGATCATGCTTGGGGTGTGAGAAGGGCATTCCCAGGGCAGGTCTTCAGACTTTGCATTACTGAAGAAGTCTGCGTCTGATCCTAAAACTCTCCTACTATCCGCTAATCTCTTAATATAAAAGAATAAATGGGCTTTGAGCACGGACCCTTTTAGCTAATAGTGACTAGTTACGTTAGTAAGTTTGCTTTGTTCTCTGTGTATTTTAAGGTTATCTACTTCCAGCCAGTGATTCTGGGTACTCCATTTTCTGTAGTGATATATTCCTATTTATTTAAGCTTGGATAACCATATAAGTGGTATGCAGAGAATGAATAATAACCCAGTCACCGGAGTTACAAGATCAGACACTCGTTTCTAAAACTTTGTAACAGAAGGCAAAGTACACTGGAGAAACCTGAGGGGGCTCGCCAGAGGGCAGGGGCTACGCAGTCTCGGCCCCAAGCCCAGCCCCTTCCCAGGGCCTCACCGACTCGGAGGCGGAACGAGTTGAACGAGTGCCTGTTGATGCCATCCAGCTTGCTCATCAGGGCGATGCTGAACTCCACCATGATACCAATGTGGGCATGCTGCCGCTCCAGGTCCTATGGGTCACAGTGCTGTACACGGGGCCGTGGCAAATCCCACCCTGTCTTACTGTCTCAACTGGCAGCAGATGCTCCAGAGCACCTGACGAGCCTGGCACTGGTGTGCCAGCAAGGGCAACGGCATGACACCCACAGGGAGGGGCTGCCAATGGGCAGAGATGAGCTGGAGGCTTCCCCACAGGGGAGCTCCATGCCAGGACAGGGCCACCTCCACCACCAGCAGAAGCCACCCCCGGACTAAGCCATGAGCTCTGCCCCTCCCTCATAAGGTGGCTTGGAAGGTGCTCCCTTTGAGGTGACAGGTCTAGGGGCTATTGAAATTCCCCTTGTGGGGCCGAGCCATGAGACCAGATAGCTGAGTACCTGAGTCTCATGCCCTGAGGGGACACTGAGCCCTGCAGCTGCCATATATGTGCTGCCGATGGTCTTGATCTTCTCCACGCTGCTGAACTTGGGCTTTAGCAGCAGCTGCAGAAAAAAAGGAAGCAGGAACACCCACCAGCTGCAGCCCAGGCCTGCCTCAGATTCTGATAGGAGGGAGATTCGATTCCCTCCTATCACCTCTTAACACAGCCATTTCTCACTCTCTGAGCTCACACTAGGGGCAAAGAGGGGCCCTCCCTGCTCCTCCAATCAGCCCAGGCTTCCCTGACATTCGTCTCCTCCTCCTCTCCATTCTCATCTGGTCTTATTCTTTCTAAGGAGCATACAACCCAGGAGTATCTACACAGGAATGTCAATTATTTGTCTGTGGCTAAGAATTACGCCCGAACCGACTGACTTGCCCTGAAACAGACTTATAGTATGGGCTTAGCTGGAAACCACACTACACATTCCACAAGGACCTAAGTCAGATAGCAAGCTGCCCCTCGCAGAGAAAATATGAATGAAACAAAATTTGTGCAATATATTCCCTCCAGGGAAGCTGCCACACATCCATTAACTGGGGCTTAGGATGCCCCATGCCTCCACCCTCCCCTCCCCAGCCCAGGCCAAGAAGCCGAGAGCTGCCCACCCACAGGCCTGGGGGGAGGCCGTACCTCATCAAAGTCGGCGATGATCTCATTCAACAGACGCAGGCACTCCAGCCCTTCCTTGTTGACGTCGCACTCCGTGTAGAACACTTTGAAGTCCGGCACAGACGCAAACATGACACACACGCAGTCATAGGACTGATGGTACCAGTCCTGAGTTGGGGCGGGAAGAAACAGGACCCTATGGCTACCTGGCCGCATGAGGGGACAGGCGACTGGGGAGGTGGTCATGGCCCGTGTTCCTCAGCTGTCCGGCTCCACTCTCGGGAGGGGGACTAAGCAAGTGGTTCTCAGCCAAGAAGGGCTGAGATTCATCTGGGGGGGCTGTGGAAATTAGGAGATTCTGATCACATTCTGAACTGGGGAGAGTCAGGCTCAGGTCGGTGTTTGGCTCTCTTGAGCAAAGTACCCTGAGTCAGACAATGGGCTGAGAACCCCTGGGGCAATAAGAGGTAACCAGTAGACAGGGTTCAATTCCCCCTGGGCCTGCCTCATTTATAAAACTCTCACAGCTTTACAGAATTGGTAGAAATACACATTTCATCAACAGAGATTGTCCAGGTTTTAAGTACCTGGACATACATTTTGATGCTCACAGTCCTGCTGGGCTAACACTGTTGGCCCCATTTTACAGAACTGGAAACCAAGGCCCTGGGAAGTAAAATATCTTGTCCATGATCAAACTTGAAACCCAATCTCAGACTCCAAGGCCTGTGTCCTTAGAGTTGATCCACACATTGTCTCCTGGGCACATCAGCGAGGCCAAGGCCCATGGAAACCGAAGTCCCAAAGCACCTAGCTGCACAGGACCACACTGTACCTTCAGGGGGCTCCCCACCCTCGAGGCCAAGCCCCTTGCACCACACCTCATTTAACTTGTCACCAATGAAGTGGGCGGCTACGTGCGCTGGCAGGACATTCTCCAGAAGAAGGCGGTTGACATTCTCCATGGTTTCGAACTCCTCGTGTTCCTTCTTGAACTTCTTCTTCCACAGACAATCCAAGCGGCAGTAATAGTCGATCTGCCGACAGTGGGGAGCATCAATGTCCTGGCCAAGCAGCTAATGGGCCACACTTGTAGCCCCAGGGGCTACTGGCCCAGCCCATCAGCACTCCCCCTGTGTCCACGAGCAAATGTCTCCAATTCAACAGCCACCTCCCAGTGGCCGTAAAGTCCCACAGTTCTCAAATGACCCATAAGATTAAATGTCACTCATGTCCTGATGGGGAGGTGATGCCGAATGGTAAGGACTGACTTACGAGCCCAGACCCAAGAACCAGAGCTTCCCTCCAGGGCTGTCTGCTGTCCTCCATGCTGCCCCAGACCTGAGGCAGCCCCAGCCCACCCCGAGCAAAGGGGGAGAAAGAAGCTGCCCTAGGCACGTGGCGGGGGGTGTTCCCAAGGCCGTACCTGTCTGGAGAGCATGAGGAGGGTGGTATAAAACAGAACCAGGTAGAAAATGATCATCATCCTCAGGTCCCTCCATAAACCGCATGGGGAGCTGCCAGACACGAAGGGGGGAGGCAGGAGTCACCCTGGTTCCCACCCAGTCCCCAGAGCACCCACTCCGAGCCAGCCAGGTGGAAGGGTCACCAGGATGGAAACCCCTGCCCTCAGCTCCTGGTCTCCCAGCACAGATGGCAAACAAGATGACTTCAGGTTATAAAGGAATGAAGGGTGACTGGGAGGTGGGGGAGGCCTCACGGAGGTGTTATCTGCAGTCACACCTGGATGACACAGAGAAACCATGGCAAAGTGACAGAAAAGCCTCCCAGGCAGGGGAGGGAGCAGCTGGGAATGACTCAAGGTGAGTCAAGGACTTGTAGATTGGCAAGCCAGACCCATAGCAGATTTTGTTCTGGACCCCCAAATTCCAGCCTTTTAGTTCAAGGGAAGCTAGGCCCTTCTTCTCCTCAATCCACTTGGAGCCCAGAGCCCCCAGAGCTCTAGCCCCTCTCATCCACAGGTGTCACCCACCTGTCCAGGGAGAGACCAGAGACAGCTGCTCTACCCAGAACTCTGTGGAGATTCAGGCCCGGTCCAAAGCAGGGACTGGGCGAGAGCTGAGGCCTGCCTCCACCCTGGCCCTGAGACAGGGTGGCCCAGGGAGCCTCTTTGGGACCAGGGGCATCCCCCAGAGAACCTGCAAATGAGTCACACTTCACAATACTTTGAGTCCCATCACATCTCCTCTGTGAAATGGAAACCATGCCACCTGCCAACGCACCCCACAAGGTGTCCAGTCCAGATGGAACTGTGAATGCAAACACCCCTTAGTTTGCAATAACACTGAACCAAAACGGAACATGTCACAGGGGGCCACAGTCAAGAGAGGCAGTGGGAAGGGCCCTGGCAGAAAGGCTATGGGCCCCACCTGCGGGTACCGTTGATCTCGGTGAGGTTGCCCCAGCTGTGTACGCAGCAGTCCCACTGGCAGCATGGCGACATGGTGAAGAGCACCAGGTAGGCCACCAAGGCCACTGTCCACAGCACGACCTTCGGCTCCAGGCTCATCCGCAGGAAGACAGAGCAGGCGAGGAAGGCCAGGATGCAGCTGCAGGTATAATACTGGGAGATGGGGGGACACTGGTTACCAAGAGGCACCTACTGGACCAGTGGCCACCAAAGTGGGGGACACCTCAGCTCGGACAGAGCCCCTTCCACCCGGGGAACTCTGCAAAGAGCCACTGGGTGCAGCATTGCTGACCTCCCATCTTAACAAAGACCACACAATGGGATCTAAAACTTTGCAGTGCTGTGTTGTTCTTACTGTGTTTTTACTTGTACTTAGGCAAGTGAACCCAAAGGGGAAAAAGATAGTAAATAAAATAGCAGGTGGTGTGTGGATGAGACATGCAAAAGTCAGAGCAGTGGTGTGCATGTACCTGGGGGCCTCCCTGCCTTGAGTCCTGCCTTGACCTTGCACCTTGCCCCACTTTACTCTTCTGCTCAAGAACACGATGAGGCCCCCAGAATAAAGACCAAGCTCTTCGCCGGGGCATTCGTGGTCCACCCTGACCTGGACCAGTCCTACCTCTGGCTTCATCTCCCAATTCTCCCCACTCCCTCTCCGTAACACAACCACCTGAAATCCTGCTGCCCCACTGCGTGCCTCAGCCTCTTCTCACTGGGCCCTCTCCCATGCTGGCCCATAAACTTCTGCCCTTTTAGACACCAGCTCAAATTCACCACCGCTCCCCGAGGCCCCATCTCCCTCATCCTGCTGCCCGCAGGGGCTCTCCAGGCATGGCTCCTGTTGTCAGCCTGCCTGGGGCCCAGTCCTAGCTCTACCACCTGAGGCACGGCAGCCAACTTTTCTGAGCTACCTTCTTGTCGATGAAATGGGCGATCCTAAAAGGCCTGCCAAAGAGGAGAGGCTGGGAGACACCCACAGGATGCTGACCCTCTCACATCCTGGACCATGTGTGCCAGCACTGAGGCTCCTGTGCCCTCCAGGACCAGAGGCCACCTCAGCCCTGTCTGGGCCCTTCTCTCTCCACCTCTCCTGGGAGAGGCTGGCCTCAGCTCTGACATACCCTGTGGTCACAGGTGCTCAGAATCAGTGGCTTTTCATGTCCCAACCTGGGCAAAAGCAGTCCTAGAGAGGGCGTAGGCTGGTCCAGCACCCGGCACCCTCACCTGGAGGAGGTCGCACAGCATCCTGTCCCAGCCGTTCGTAGCGCTCAGGCTCGTCTTGTTGCCGGGAGACAGCCCCAGTGGTGGGAACGGCATCAGCGGCTATGGAGGAGACAGGTCCCCGTGAAGGTTGGCCCAGAGGCCTGAGACTCTAGCACCTGCCAGGGCCAAGCGGGGCTGGGGGGTTGGAGGAGCCAGGGGGGCTGGGCCCTGGACCAGCACCATGGGCAACTCCTGCCAGACCCAGTTCTCAACACAGCCCCAAGCCCGTGCCCGATTTCCGGCATCAGCCATCAGCTTCACAGTGGGAAGGGGCCAGGGCAGAGGGTGTACAATGAAGACACATGGACATTAGCCCCAGAGCAGCAGAGGCTGACTCAGGGAGAGGGCCAGAGAAGCTGGGGTCAGCGCTTCCAACAAGCCCCCTCCTCCCCAGGTGACACTGAGGGAGGCAGGCAGCCTAGTGACTGTAATGTGGAGGTAAAGGACAGACCCGAGCTCCAGATGCGGTGCTGGGAGGAGAGGGACGGGACACCGAGCACATGAGCACGGCCTGGGAACAGGCGCTCAAGTGTCCCCCCCAGCTTGTCCCTCAGGTGACTCGTCCCTAGTGAGGACACAGACTCTGGGCAGGACTGGGCCTCCCCAGCGGGCCACAAAGAAGTAAGCGGATGTCAAGAGGGGAGTTGTCATTGGACAAGGAGACTCCAGCAACCTCACAGGGCTGGACACATAAGCTCTCTGGGGAGCCCAAGTGCTCATTTGAAAACTGAAGGGTACAGGGGCTCTAAGCCTGACCTTACGGTCCATCCACAGGGCTCTGGGAAAGGTTACACCCAAAGCAACTTTTAGGCAACGAGATTATGGGATTCTAGAATCTGGAGGTTCCCAGAGTCAAAGGCTGGCTCCCACCAGCCTTTGCACAGGCACCAGGGGTCCCGCCTTTCCCGCCCCCAGAACCCACCAGGTTGACGATAGCAATGGTGAGCAGACTGCCAATGGTCAGGACGGCCAAGGACACCCGCAGCAGGGGCTGTGTCTCCACCCTCTCGGAGATGGCCTGGAGCATCCCCCAGGCTGGGCAACAGCTCTGTGGAGTCCAGGGGTCACGTCAGCGGCACAGCCCCCGGCAGGGAGGCGGAGCCTGCCTGAAGCCTTGCAGGGAGAACTCCACCAGGGAGAGTCAGCAGGTGCTCTGCGCCCAGCCCAGAGCTCGGTGCACATGTGCTGTGCAGACAGAAAGACACTCCCACCCTTGGGGCCATGGACAGCCACAGCCACTTGGGGACCACTGGGCTGAGAAAGTAGAACCCTTGGGAGAAGGCTCCAGAGCCTCGTAATGTGTCCTCCAGGCAGGAGGGGCAGGGCCCAGGTGGGCAAGGCTCGCCAGGAAGGGCTCCCAAGCCAGGGTAGGGGCAGGAGGCAGGGGCCTCCGACATGTGGGAGGCCTGGCCAGGAACTGAGTCAGTGGCCTCCCCACTCACCAAAAACTCATCAGCGAAGCACAGGCCTAGCACCAGCACCAGCACACAGGCCACCAGCCCAAAGGACACACCTAGAGTCGCCATCCTGAGAAGAAGGAAAGAAAACCCTAAGTTCTGGGGGATCATGTGTCCAGGGCCAAGCCACGGGCCTGTTCCCCCACCCCTCCCAGCACCCCAGTTCTCAGGCTCATGGTCACCTTCTGCCCCCTTCACCCCTCCCAAACTGCTACTCTAGACTCACCAAAGGGGACCTTTGAAAAGCCTGGCCCAGTGCCCCACTAAAAACACACGAGGCCTGGCCAAAACATGAAGGCCAAGATCAAGATCACACCCCCCTTTCTAGACTGAGTATATAAGAAATGAGTGATTACACAGCCTTCAGATCACATCTGGCCCGTAAGTACCATGGAGTGCTCCCTGGTGTATCTTTATTGAGCACATCTGAAACCACAGTCCCCGGGGTCCTTCAGCCTAGCCACCCCCTTCCCGAAACCACCAAGCAGCTGGCTTCCTCCCTGTGGCCTCGTCCCCAGCACACCTAAAGGGCCCCTGGGGCAGAGGCATGAACCTCAGCCACTCCTGACATCCTGGCCATGCAGCCTGGATAAGTCATTAACCCCTCTGGGCCTCAGTTTCCCATATCGAAGAGAAGATGATGGCAGCAGAGGTCTTAGGTCTGCCCTTCTAGGACTGCAAACACTTCAGGCACGGGTCACAAACTACAGACACATACAAGGCGACACAGGTGACAGATGACTTCTAAGGTGAAGCAGGCTTCCAATGAAAACACAAATGAGTAATTCCAGGGCTGGGGGTCAGATCCCTGTGCCAGTTTCTGGGACTCCAGGGTCTACAGTTACTGAACTCAAACAGCGGGCCCCTTTCTCCTAGCCATGCAGCCCCTCCCAGGTTTTCTGGTGGATCCTGTAAGGCCACGGCCCCTCGTGGCCTGGGCCATCCTTGGCCACCACACTGACCTGGGCATGAGCAGAACATGGATGAGCAGGATGCAGACGAAAACGAGGCTGGCGCAGGCGAAGTAACGGCGGGCCCGGGGGATGGGTGCCAGGCGGTACTGAGGACAACAGAGACTGTAAGGGGTGCCCAGGGCGGCCAAGGCCCCAGCTGCAGGGCCACTTGCTCTCACCCCTTCATAAGTCTACCTTGGCTCAAGTCAATCACCCTAAAAAACCCCCTCACACCCACCCTGAGCTCTAGATGATGGTGTGACACCATCATTAAGCAGCAACCTGGATACAGGCCCTCCAGATTCCCTGACTTTCTTTCCAAGGCCCCTGAAAAGGCCATGGCCTCCCATCTGCATATGGGAACCAAGCTGCTGAGACAGGCTAGTGGTGGGTCTGCCCCTCACTGCAAACCGAGATATAAGGCAGGTCCTGAGCCGGGCACTGGCAGGCAGGGACCCGGTGCTGCCCGGCCCCCTACTCCAGCACCATCTCATTATCCTGGCCCCTGAGGGCTCCTGCTGCAGACGGGCAAACCAAGGCTCAGAGAGCCCAGCAGCCTGCCAGCACCACACAGTCAGCGGAAGGCCCAGTGGGGTGGCGTTCTGGTGACACTGCCTCCTCCAGACCCCCAGCTCCTCAGGGAGCCCCAGCTAGAGGCAGCCCGCCCCTACCCTACCCCCAGCACCAAATCCTGTAGGCTGGGCAGGAGAGAGGTCCCCACACCAGAGCCACAGGCTGCAGCCACCCTCCCAGATGGGCCACACCTGAGGCCAAGATGGGCTCTGAGAGCCTGTGAAATGGGTAACAGTGCCCTTGGTGACCGTCTGAAGGTTCAGTGACAACACATGTGCCCAGGAAGTTGTCAGAACCCAGTAGATGCTCCAGAAACAAGTAGATGGTCACTAGTGGCAAAAAAGCACGTTGCTGAAGCAGCCAACCAGCCCCTTCGGCACTGATACTGAAGTGAAGCTTTTTCCCAATTACTAGGCTGCTGCCGGCCTACGGCTGGCTGCACTGGCCTTACCTGCTAAGGTGCTCGTGTTTGAAGTGAGCAAACGTCCCAAACCCAAGTGGGCAAATCCCTAATGGGGCATGTCAGGAACAGGGGTGAGGCCGGCAGGAAGAGAACCCAAGGGGGGCTGGATTAAGTCTCCCATTCTCACCAGCCAGCTGGAGCTGGCCCTCCCCGTGACCCCCCCTGAACAATTTTCTGGGAGTGTTGGCTGCCGCATGGCCTGTGCCCCCACCCCTCACCCCAGGTCCCATTGCTGGAGCTGCTCAGGAGCCCTCACCTCCCGCTCAAAGCCCTTCTCCAGGAAGATGGACCCAAAGGAGTAGAAGTCATCGGACTTGGTGCAGCAGGGCCTATAAGGCGGCAGACACAAGCAGTAAGATGTGAGGCCTGGGGGAGTGGGGGACAGAGGCCCACCTTCAGGTAAGGGGAGGGGCAGGGACCACAGGCAGGGACCCCACCCTCAGGAAGGGAAGTGGGCAGACCCCCCTTGGGAAGCAGCACCAGGGAGGGAAGGAGCTACAATGAGCCCAGCAAGAGCCGGGCCACCAGGCGTATGGGTACAAGGTGGGCCTGGCCGTATCAGGCCCCCCTTAGGTGAGGGGGTGAGCAGACATCTGGGAGCCTCACCTCGTGGAGCTGAGCCCCTCAATGGCTGAGAGCATCTCATCATCATATGAGTCGTCCTCCGACCGCCCCTTGGGGGATGCGCTTCTAGAATCAGGCATCCACGACTGCACCACCCAGGGGCCACATCCACCTGCCCAGAGGCAGGGGTGCGGACAAGATGACTCCCCCAAGTGGGGTCCCCAGGGGCCTGCAGGAGGCCCCAAAGCCTTGCACAGGATAGTGGAGAAACAGATGGGTCCCCTAAGGCCCAAAGAGGGCAGGAGAACACCCAGCATCACACAGCCTCCCCCAGGTGCCAGCAAGCAGAGGGCAGACCCCAGTCCCCAGGCCAAGGCCTCTTCCACTAAACCCAGAGCTCCTTCACACCAGCCCTGCTGAGCCCCCTACAGGGTGGGTACACCACAGGCACTCAGTGACAGCAAAGTTCTGGTTCCTAAAACACTTTGACCCAAGCCACAGCCAACTCCATGGTCAGGGCTGGGCCTAGCAGAGCTGCCCAGGAGGAGGCTGGCCTGGGCAACCTGGCTAGAGAAGGTGACTGGGGCAGTGCTTGGCCAGGAGGGCAGGCCACACGTGGCAGGAAGGAGGGGCAGTGCACATACCTATCAGGAGTCCGGTGGCGCCTCAGGGGAATGGCCTGGAAGGGAAGGGAGGGAGAGAGATTGCCCAGCCTGCGGAGCCCTGACATCTATCACCAGGTGCTCAGAAACATGGGGTGGGTGTAGGGGACGTCCAAGCTTCAGGCATCTGATACCAAAGCCAAACACAGTCTGGGGACCGAGGACTGGGCCGTTCTCATACTCCCTGGAGCACCCCAAGAGCCCAGGAGGGAGGCAGCACAGGGTCAGGCACCATTTTACAGATGGAGGCAGTGAGGCCTGGATAGAAGGACGGGCTCTCCTGCCCCTCCTCAGGGTCCCGTCCACAGCTCCCTCGGAGGGAGCAGTCCTACCTTCGGCCTCCGGCTGGTGGGGACAGCAGTCTCACTGCTGCTCACGCTCTCACGGTGGCTGAGGTGGGCAAAGGGCCGCGCAGCCCCCCAGGACTCCAGGTAGCGGGTCATGCGCACAGACGCCCGCATCTTCAGGGCAGCATCCCCCTTGGGCTTGGGGAGGTGCTGGCTGGGCGGGGGTGGCTGCTGGCTCTGCAGGCAGACACACAGAGGCCTGTCCCATCCCCTTCCCTCTCAGCCTGGAAAGGGGCTGCCACCCCCACCCTCCTCCAGCTGGGGTGCCAGCCCATCTGGTGAAAGGGAAAATGGCAAAAAAGCTGCTTGGTCTGCAATCCCCTCGGGGACTGGCTAATGCCCAGTGCACTCCTGTCCTTCCTCGGCAGGGAGGAAATAGGGTCACACACAGCTGGGTACAGCCCCGCAGCCCCTTCTCCGTCCCCCAGGGGAAGAAGCTGGTTAAGATCCTAAGCTCTGGGCCCCACTCACTCATGAGGCTCTTTGGAACCAGATGCTGACCTGGGGGCCTGGAAGCCCATCAGCCCCTCCCCATGGAGGCACCCTGGGGAGACAGCACCCAGGGAGGCCATAGGCATCCTGCCTTCCCACCAACATGTGGCTGGCAGATGTCTTTCCTGTAGGAAGCCACCATGAACAGAGTGCTGGCCAGTGACCCAGAGATGGCCAGGGAGCCCTACAGAGTGGCCCCCAAACAACAGCAGGGGTCCCCTACCTGCCACGTGCCTGCCATAGCTCTGCCAGGGCATGGTGGACTAGCCAGGCCCTGAATGAGGGGGCCCACCCTGCCCCCACAGGAAGAACAACATAGCAGGGACCTCCCCTGGCTGGGGAGGCTGGGCAGGGCTGGAAAAGGGGGAAGGAGACTGCGGGAGACAAGTATGGGACATTTCGAGACCTGCAGAGCCCGCCTCCCCTTGGGTCCCCACAGACACTGACTCAGACCAGCACTACAGGCACAAACGCTCGCTAAGCCATAAGCAGCAGCTTTCCTGGAAATGTCTAGCCTCCTTCTGGGAGAGAAACATTTTTAAACCCTGAGACACATCAGCCTCGCCAGGGAGAACAGCGTGGAATCCGGCCTCTGTGAGTGTCCCGGGGTCCAGAGGACACACTGAGCCCTGCACTGAGCAACCTGCCTGGGGTGGGGGCAGGGGGCACATCTCTGTCTCCCCCTCCACTGTCGGCCCCTCTGCCTATACAGCACCCGGCCACTCCAGCTCAAGGCCTCTGGCATTTCTCTGAGGGCAGGAAGGCCAGACACCTTGCCTTCCTGAGAAACAGATGTGTACGAAAGATCCATCAGTTCTAAGTAAAATGCACCTGAGAGGTAGGCCCCAGAAGGGCAGCTGCAGCCCCACCAGCCTGCAGGGGAGCCCCACAGGCCACCTCTGGCCCCTTACCCCAGGTGTCTTCACACCTAAGAAATGGTATGAATCAGAGCCTAAGGAGGCCAGAGTTGGAAAAGCACCACCTTGTCCACAATAGGAGGGACATCTGAGCGTCCTTTCCATGGCTCATTGCACAGTTGTGAGAAGAAAAGAAGTGAGGATGGTCTGTGCACACAGAGGGAAGGTCTCCAAGTTTCCAACCCAGTGGGTGCCACGCTATCCCGTGGGCTTAATGAGGAGGGCAGATGAGAATCTTTCGAGCTATTACGTGTGCAGAAACATCTCTGTGGAAAGAACTCAAGGAACACCATGCTGGTTCCCTTTAGTGGGACAGGCTGGCTGCAGACAAGGATTCAAGGGAAACTGTCTGCAACATGCCCTTCATGCTTTCTGAATTTCCAACTATGTAAACGAGCAAAATTAAAGATGGGGAAGGGAGGGTTGACAGATGAAATATAGGATGCCCAGTTCAATCCTGTGTAAGATTCACGCTCAGACAAAAACTCCTCTGTGGTGTATCTGAATGCAAGGTGAACTAAGCGCCCTGGAGCTGCACTTGCTGAATCCAGCAGCCCTGGGGGTGGGGGTGGAGCTCTGCCTGCTCTGCCTTGCAGTCTGGGTACTCTGCCTCATTCATTCACAAGGTATCCAAGCACAGGCTCTGTACCAACAGGGGTTGCAGCCAGGAGAAGAGGGCACCCCTCCCCGAAGCCTGCCCATGTGGTGTTCACACTGGCAATATATAAGCAAAAAGGATAAATAGGAGCATTTGGGACAGAGGGAAGAGGGCTCAGGGCTGAGGGAGCAGCAGGGACAAGGGTCCTGTGGTGGAAAGAGCCTGGCAGGAAGGACAGGAGGATGGCACAGGACTGGGGTGAAGTACACTCAGGATGAAAGAACAGGGCAGAGAAGGAGAAGTGGGCAGGGCCCAGAACTGTGAGTACAAGGTGAGGGGCTGGACTATATTCCATGATTGGGGTAGGGGGGCAGCCCCAAGGTATCTAGGAGGGCTTCCCCAGGTGCTGACTCAGCAGCCGGATGAGGCCCGAGGAGCTGGGGAGGCCGCAGGCTGGCCCTCTGCTCCCCTGGAGACTGGCAGTCAGACAGCCCGGCCCTGAGGACAACGAAGGCCAGAGAGGGAGCTGGAGAGAGCCTGCTGCGACTGACATTCTCGAGCAAGCCCCAAGGACGATTCACAGAGGCCTCCAGGCAAGCTGGCCTCCCACTGGCAGGAAGAAGGGCCCAGCAGGCCCGGTATGGCTGGGGGCAGGACTGGGGCCCACAGGCCTAGCAGCTGCCCACAGCCTCCCCCAGCACGGGGGCCCGAGGAAAGCGGGGCCAGCGGAGGAGGCAGAGCTACACAGCCAGGCAGACACTGCGGGTCAGAACCCAGGACACACGGAGGCCCCTGCCTAGTGGCCATCTGGCCTTTCCCTACCTTCCTGAGTCTCAGCCAAAGCATGTTTTTAAAATGTATCTTCTGAAAATCTGGAGATTAGGGACTACCTCATGGAAAATAGACTAACAGTGACTGTCAGCTTGACCTGACTGCCTTGCTCGGATTAGCGTTTTCTCCTCTGTTGTTACTCCCATTTCATGGAAAGGAACACTGAGGCCCGGGACACACCCAGGCGCGGGGAGCTCACTCCAACCCCGGGCAGGCCTCTTCCTTGCCTCCTCACAGCCTTGAAGGGAAGAACACTCCACGTCTCCAGGCCCTCCCTCCATCCCCCAACCCGCCTGCTGCATCTGAGCCCTCGTACCCGGGGATCAATGACCAGGTAGGTACGGATATTCATCTCTTTCAGGTAGGGGTCTCGCCGCTGCCCATGCCCGTCCTCCACCTCATACGCCTTGTCCAGGTGGTTCAGCGTTGCCTCGGTGATGTGTACACGGCTGGGGGAGGCCAGAGTCAGACAGAGCAGTGGGCCCAGAGAAGGCTGGCACCTGCTCCGAGATGCACAGCAGGAAGGGCCAAGCAGGCCGGCTCCCCCCACGGAGAGGTCATGATTCTGTCTCTGACCCCACCCTTGGCCCCCCTCCCCAGCTGAGTCAGCCCCTGCCCTCTGACCCCCTGCTGTCACCCAAGCCTCACCCAGGGACTCCAGCCGCCTCCATCCTGTTGGCCAGGGACACGTCATGGGACCACACATCATACTGCCACTTGTGCAGCCCGATGACACCACACAGCACGTTCCCCGAGTGTATACCCACACGCATGCTGATGTCCACACCCGTGGCTTCCCGCACCTGCCTGGGGCAGAGCAGTCCAGTCACCCCACCCCAGCTAGGGCTGCTGGGGGTCCCAGGTACAGAATGTGACACGGGCAGGGCAGAGCAAGGCTGTGGGGGGAGCATGTGGGAAGGGGCAGGCCCAGCTCCCAGGAGAGAACCTTCTCAGCCTGATGGGGCTGCCTCCTCAAGAGGGCATGAGCACCCCGTCTCTGGGAGTATGCAGATAGATGTGGCTGGCCCCCAAGTTCACAGGCTGTCAGAAGGAGTTCCAACTGTCGTTGGTTACTACAGCTCATGTTGAAGGCCCTAAAATACATCACTGGCTGTTTCCCCTGCCTGGCAACCCCAGCTGGGCTCTGCAGACAAACTCAGGCCCTACCCCAAACCCAGCAGAGACAAAGAACACAGGAGCTGGGCTTTGGGGGCCTTCTATACCCCCACCTCGGGGAAGTGGGAGCACTGCGGGTTGCTAGCACCTCTCAGTGCAAGAAGCCCCAAGTCAGAGCTGCCCCAGGGCACAGGGCACTCTAAACACAAGCAGAGCCCCAGGGCCCTTTGACAAGTGGATGAGGTCCCAGAAGCAGCCAGGGTCAGGTGGCCACCAACAGGGCTGGGGATGGAGTCAAAGCCAGAGGGAGCATAAGGGGCCTGCACGGCCTCCACATGCTCTTGGGGAGGAAACTGACCTGGGGTGGGTGACCTGGCCAAGGTCACCCAGGTAGTGGGATGCAGAGCCAGGCTAGAACCAGACCCCCACTCCCTCTCCAGATCCGGCAGCCCCCACCACTGCTGGTGAGATTCCAGGAGGAGGCCAGGCTGGGGCTGGGTTACACCCGGGAGCCACACTCCTCAGGCAGCCCAGCTGCAGCCCACTCTGCCCTGAACACTGGTGGGTCTGGCTAAGCCCACCTGGCTCTCCACCCTGTACCTGAGCACCGTGGCAGGTCCTTCCCACAGACCATGGCTGCTCAGGGCTCTGGAGAACTTGTGGGGAGCTGATGGGAAGGAGCTCCAAGAGACTGGGGGCCTCCCTGCAGCTCGGAGAACCAGTCCGGACTCCAAGTCTTCCCAGGAAGAACAGGCAGCAGATGGAGCCCTGCAGTCAGACCTAGAGTTCACAGGTTCCTCGCACTGCTAACACTCAGTCTATAGGATGACAAGGCCCAGCTGCCCCCTCCTCACACCTGCCAGCTCCTAGCCGCTGATACTCTCTGGGGCTCAGAGGCTCAGTATGCAGACATACTGCTAAGTAGTCCAGGCAACTGATTTCACCCAAGCCTCAGTTTCCTCATCTGCAAAACAGGGACAATGCATTCCCCTCCTGCCTTAGCAAGACGAAGGGGTCCATCGTGGGGACAGGACCTGGTGCCCCAGGCCTGCCCATGGTACCTACTTAATGGCCTCACACATGTCCAGCCCCATCTTCACGCAGTTCCTGGCATGGGTGGGCAGGGACACAGGCAGGCCTGACACGCAGTAGTAGCAGTCCCCCAGGATCTTGATCCGCATGCACTCATTGGCCTGCAGGACAAGGGAGAGGCCTGGCCTGAGGAAGGGCTGCAGGCACACAAACCAGCCATCTCCCCACAGCTGCCAGGGTGAACCAGGCTCTTTCCTGGCCAGAGGCTTCTTCTGGGGTATCAGCTACCAGTAGCAGCTTAGTACATGGATTGGAGACATGGGGAGCTCCCCAGGAAGAACCCCCCCACAAGCATCAGGGATGGAAGTGGATGTTACTAATGGTGGCCACCTGGGTGCCTCTGTGGTAAACACTGTCTTTGTCTCATTTCTTCATGCAATGTTTGAGCACCTACTAAGTGCCCTGTCCTGCCCCAGGCACTGGGATATGGCAGTGAGAAAAACAGACAAAACCCCTGACAGCCATGGAGCTCGCACACCGGCGGCAGAGCTAGTCACTAAACTAGATAAATAATATCTATAGACACTCAATGGTGGTAAGTGCCAAGGAGAAAAATGAGGGATGAAAGGACAGAGCAAGTTCCCAGGCAGTCAGAGAAAGTAACATTTGAGCAAAGACTCAGAGGGGACTGAGGAAGCAAGCCATGCCAGAATCTGGAGAAAGCCCATTCCAGGCAGAAGATGGAAGCAGCATGTGCAAAGGCCCTGAGGCCAGAAAGCTGTCTGAGAAACAAACAGTAAAGCAGCCAGTGTCGCTGAAGTAGAGAAAGTAGGGGAGATGAAAACAAGAGAGGTGGCAGGTGCCATAAACCAAGGGGTCAGCAAGTTTGAGGTAATCCAAGAGATGGCTATGCTGCTAGGGATGCTGCTAGGGTTTGTGAGTGGGGAGGGATCAGAGAGGAAAAATGGGGGTGAGGAGAGAGGCTGGGGTCTCAGAGGAAAATGTGCATGGAGAGGGGGAGGCGAGGCCCAAGCCATTCCACCTGATGCGGTGCTGAGGCCACTAGACAGCCTCCCCCTGCCCCTCCCCCCAATCAATAAGCCCTGGGCAAAGGTGACCACACATACCAAGGCCTTGGGGGTGGGGTTTCAGGGACTCTGAGAAGGAGCTATGCCAGCTCCTTTCTCAACTCCTCATCTAATAACCACATTTGTGGTGTGTGCCAGCTCTTCCCTGCTGGGCCCCATCTGGCACACGCTGAGTACTGAGTGGCTTGGCCCAGGACACAAGGACAGTGGCCTTCCTACAAACCAGCAGGGGATGGACTCCCAGGCGCAAGCTCCAGTTGCCCTTATCTCCTCCCAGATCAGCCACTGGACTGCCCTCTGAGCCCAGATGTCTGTCAGGGACTAGCCACTCCAGCTGGAGGGATGGCCATGGCCTCCCTCTCCCCATCTATACAATGGGGCTGCCACCAGGCAGGCAGACACAGACACAGACACACTACCACCACCACCTGCCCCTACCCTGGGCCCACACTGCCACAGAGACAAAGGCTAAGACCCCAGCCCAGCCCTGGCTGCTCCCAGACATCTCCCCACTCAGCTGTTCCCTGAAGATCCTCCTTACCCAATGTTCTCTCCTGCTTGGCACCTGCTATGCCTCCCAAGGTCCTCAAATCAAGTCCCACTCCTTACCTCCACCCTAAGTCTTTGCACGTTGGACTCTCTGACCTTCTCCCCCTCACTCTGTCACTCCTACTCATCCTGAGCCATGTTCATTCCCAGGACAAGCAGCTTTCTTTCTACTCCAGCCTTTTGCACATGCTGTTCCCTCTGCTCAGAACACTGTTCCCTTTCCTCTTCAGGTATCCTTTTAGGTTTCTCAAACTTTAACACGCATACAATTCAGGGATCTTGTTAAAAGGCCAATTCTGGGTAAGGCCTGGCATTCCACAGTCCTCCTAAGCTCCCAGATGAGGCCAAGGTTACTGGCCTTGTGTAATGAGGATGAAGCCATCTCCTCCTCCAGGCAGCCTTCCTGAGCCCCCTGAGCTCCTTAGTTCCTGTGCTCCCCCAGTGTACTGTGAGTCTCCCCACCAGCCTCACATTCTGGGAAACAGGATTCTGGCTGCCCTGGCCACCTCTTGACCTCCACTTCCGCCATGGGGTACTTGGAAGTGTTTGCTGATTGAATGCTAAAATTCAGCCAAGGCCTCCCCATCCCCATCTCACCACAGCACTGGCACAGGATACCACTGGAAGGCAGTGGGGGTGGGGGTGGGGGCCTGACTTCACCAACAGCAGGACGGAGAGGCAGCACAAAAGCCAGGGCTCACCTTGGCAATCTGGTCGAACTTGCCGAAGAGCTCATTCAGCACCACTACCAACTCTTTGGGAGAGCAGTCGCTGGCCAGCTGCGTGAAGCCCACAATATCAGCGTAGAGAATGCTGGGGGTGGGGTGAGGCCACAGGATGGATCAGAGCCAGTCACTGGAACCATCCAGAGCTCCCAAGCACCCACGACCCTGACCCTAATCATCCCTGCTACTCCTCAGCCTCTGTAGGATGGGAGAGAAACTCCTGGCCATAAAGATGAACTAAAGTTCCAGAGGTTTGGCATTAAAGCAGAACAGAGCAAACCCTCGAGACTGCAGGGTCCCACAGAACCCCACCCCAGGCCCCATCACTGCAGACGACGGGTGCTCTTACAGGCAGAGCCCCCACACCCCTGAACTTCCTTCTCCTTTCCTACACCTGGGTCTTCAGCTCTGCCCAGACTTCAGAACTAAACTCCCTGCTAAAATGCAGCTCCATGCTCCCTCAAGCCATGCTCCACACCCAACACTTTATACACACCCAGTCCTCACCCTCATAGGATTCCCACTCCACAGATGAGCAAACTGAGGCTTGGGGAGGTTAAGACTTGCTGGGAAGCCAGAGCTGCGCCTTGCACCCAACCTCCCCCAGCTGCAAAGTCTGGGAGGTCTGGGTGGCCCACAGCATAGAGAACAGTGGATCCAGCCTCAGACGTAGCTCGGACCTCAGGCAGAGCATGAGGGTGGGGTCCCCAGCACCCGTATCTACAGTTCCCTAGGCTGGTGCAGTCAAGTAATTCTGCAGCCCCTTTGAAATCAAAGCCAGATAGGTATCAGGACTGTGCCCTTGTGGCCACCAAGCCATGGGGAACTTCACCTCCTTTCAGGGGGCCTGTGCCCCCTTGAGAATCATCTGAAAGGACCCCATGCATCCCAACAGTCATGTTTGTGCACCATTTTACAATCTTAGGAAGCTACTGGATCTCTCCCAACCCCAATCTAATCTGACCCCCTATGGGAAAACAAATGGAGACACTGAGGCCCAGGAGGGGCCTGGCTTTGCCTCCCTCCAAGTCCCTGTGGGCTGGGGAGTGGTGCACTCAGCCCCAGGCGATACTGGGCGCATAGGCTGCCCACCTGACGTTCTGGTGCCGCTTTACGTAGAGGCTGTGGAAGTTGTTGTCGGGCATGTAGCGGCGGTCCCCACGCTCCTTGAGCCGCTCGATGATGGCCAGCTTCATGCCCATGGAGATGTGGGCGGGCAGCACTGACAGCAGCAGGTTCTCCTGGGCACCGGTAGGGGACAGCAGGGTGGCATCGGGCCCCAGGCCTGGCCCACCAGGCCTCAATTTTCTCTACCCTCCTGCCTGACCTGCCCAAAGCACCCTCCATCTCCACTGGCCCACATCCGGCCACCAACCCAGCAGGGCAAATCCCCTCCTGTGTCCCCAGCAGCCCCCTGGGGTGAGGCCTGCATGGGTGTCCACAGAGACTCATGGCCATGGCTGAGGAGGGCTGGGCAGTGGCCAGGCTGTGGCTCCAGGGGAGATGGAATTCACACCTGCTGGCGCTTCTCAATGCGAAGCTTTCGACGGATCTGAATGCACTTCACAGTGTAGGTGAAGAGGTCACGGGAGGCGTCCTGCATCTGGTGCTTGTGGAAGGCGCCGGTGAGGTTCCCACACAGGAAGATGATAGCATTGGCCAGCAGCTGAGGGCAGGCCAAGGGCAAGCTCAGTATTCAGCCTGGTCCCTTCTCCATTTCCTGACCCCCAACCCACTTGGCTGGCACCCTTCCTGGGGCAGGCAGGGAAACTGAGGCCCAGACAGGAGCTGGTCCCCTAGGCAGTCACTTTGACTACAGGACCAGGACTCAGGCCCATCTCAGCATTCTCCAGGCCAGGAGGGCTTGGGCCCCAGAGACCAGGGAAGCCAGCCACTCCAGGGGAGGCAGAGGCAGAGGCAGAGGCACATCACCTCGCAGAGCCAGAGCCCAGGCGATCACCGAGGCAGTCAGAGAAGGCACAGCACACCACTGGCTGCCTGAGCTCTGGCCGCCACTTCCCAGAGCGGAGCGCACAGCAGACCAGTCAGGAGGAAAACACATCTGTCAAGTCGCCTTTAATCAGGATTCAGCTTTGCTCACTCCACATAAAGACACAAATGTCCAGGCATACATCCCAGGCCTGCCAGGACAGGCTCTGCGGTGAAACCATGTGAACAGGCCCGTCGTGTAACAGCGGATGCAGGAGGGTGGCCTCAAGGCCATGGCAAGAGTGAGGCGCCAGGCCTCCTGGGTGCCACAGGCCAGCAAAGAAAAGGCTGCAGGGAAGGACACCTGCCCAGGGGGTCCAGCATCCCGAGCGTACCTGGAGAGGGCCTGGTCTTGAGGCCATCTGTCCGCAAACAGGACCCTGAGGCCCAAGGACCAGCTCACTCATGCCAGCCATGGCTGCCCTCAGGCCCACACCACAGCTCCTGCCCACAGCCCCTTAGCCCTCCCCCATGCCAAGACTCCCATGCGCCCCTCACCTGCAGCCCCATCGGGACGCTGGGCGTTGAGAAGCCCCCCATCAGAGCGCCAAGCACCAGGAGGTGGGAGGTGCTGGAGATGACCCCTACTACCACAGCTCCGTGCATGCTGAAGGGCAGCAGCGTGTACACCACAAAGACGATGAACAGGAAGAAGGGCACCTGGGGACAGGCGTCATGAGGCTCAGGGCCTGGCTGGCCCCTGCCCCAGGACGGCCCAACGCTGAACTGATACTGGCCCCTGTAGGCTTTTGCCTTCCGGGTTCAGCCCCAGAAACCTGGATCCTGAGCCCCTCAACCATTAGCCCAGGCCACGAAGTGCCTCTGCCCTCAGGTCACCCCCTCCCCATTCCCTGTGTGGAGAGAGACAATGAAAGACATGCAATGGAGCAAGAAAAAGTCAAACTCTGCTTCTGGGTCAGGCCTAGCCAGCACTATTCACCATTTCTTATGAGCTGATTGATGACCTGGGGCCAAGGTCAAGCCTCCCGGGGAGTGAGACTGCATAGCCCTCAAGACCCAGGGAGCTCCTGCCTGGTGCCACTGCCCAAGGCCTCCTTCCACAGAAGGCTGGGGCTGGGCCATTCACCTGCCTCCATGCGCTCCCAGCTGGCTGCTCTGCCCGCCGGCCCCGCACCTGCCCCTTTCTGGGAACAGCATCCTCCACAAGCTTCCAGTGTGCCTGGCTTCCACAGCCTCACCTCTCCAGCCCCAGGAGCGTCAGGAGGTGCCGCTCCTTGGCGACAGTGACTGTCCAGGGCTGGACCTAATGACCCAGGCCAGGTCAATGTGACTCGAACTGGTCAAGAAAGGGCTCTTTTAGCTGAAGTGTGTAAGCTGGTGGGTGGGCAGCTGGAGCCACTATAGCCATCTCTGCTCAACCGGGCAATGGCCTGCCCGGGAATGGAACAACACAGAGGACAGCAGAGCAGAGAGCAATCAGGGTCGGCCATTATGCCAGAGCCCTAGAACTGGCCTCTCAGCCTTTCCGGGCACACGAGCCTCTTTGAGCTAGAGTAATGTCCCTTCCAACCCCATGAGGGTCCACCTAGATACATGTCCAGACATGCCCAGGGACGCTCTTCCCACCTCGCCCCCATCTCGGTGCAGAGAACTGAGAGGACAGTGGCGACCCAGGGCCCATCTACATCACAGAACCGCAGCCCATGGAGCACAGAGGGCCCGCGGCTAGCACTCCAAATGCAGGCTCCTCTCCAGAAGGACCAGAAGCTCAGAGAGGGCAGGAATAGCCTGCTGCACAGCTGGCTAGTGGCGTCTGGCCCCCAAGGATGCCAGGGTCCCCCGCCCTGTTACCTGCTCCCACGCACAGGCTTTCTTCTTCCACGAGTCGAACACCAGCATGTAGCCCAGTGTCAAAAGGCAGACCCAGATGAGCAGGGCTGAGGCCCTGAGCCACCGCCGGACGAGGCACTCAACATACACCAGCACGTAGAGAACCACAAACACAGCAAGTGTCAAGAACACTGTCCCCAGGACAGCCTGGAGTCCAGAGGGGTCCTGGGTGGGCAAACAAACACAGACATGGCTTTTTCCAGTGGGGTGCCACTTCCTCCAGGAAGCCTGCCAGGTTAGCTCCGTGACATTGTCCTGAGCAATGTCAGCTCAGCTTCCTCCACATGATTGATGTCCCTGCTTCCTCTGAACACCAGGGTCTTTTGCTATTGGCTCTGCTTGAGCTGCTTTCACCACCACCCGTCCCCTGTGGTGCCCTAAGCATATTTCACAGCCCAGCCCAGTGCTATTCTTCCTCCCAAGCTCCTCCCCATCAGGCCTCTCCCACGGTGTTCCCAGGGTGCCCTGTGCATAGCTGTGGGGGACAGTACAAGACGACAGGAGCAAAACTGAGGAAAGCCTCCTGGAGGAGAGGCCACTGCTCCTGACTCTGAAAGAATGAACAGAAGCTTGTGAGGAAATGATGACCAAGAGTGACCCAGACAGGGAAGGAGCTGGAGCAAAAGGTAACACACTGGGGTAGGGGTGTGGGGGCAGTATGAGAAATGACAGCACCTGGCATCCCCCAGTAGGCTGATCTGCGGACCAGCACACAGCAGGTACTCAGTAACTATGTGCTGAATGCCAAAACAAATGTCCTGTGGTTTATACCCATGTAGATACAGGCAGCATGAACAGAGCACCTACTGGGTGCTAGCTACATCACACATATTACTCTGATGTTTTCTTCTAGAACTCTGCTGTCCCATACAGAAGCTACTAGTCATATGCAGCTACTCCAAAGAAAATTTACATTAATTACCAATCAATTAAAATTTCAGTTCCATCATACTAGCCACATTAAGTGCTCAACCACCACACATAGACCGTGGCTGTGCAGAGCAAAGCCTAGGTCAGCAATAGTATTAGTGGTGTCTGCCTGGAGAGCTGTGTTGAAAAGGACTCTGAGACTACAGACAGGCTCCATGAGGAGTGCTGGGATTGGAGGTGGGAGCAGAAATACACAGGCCCTTCCTGACCTAAGTCTTCAACTGAATCAAAGTTTGTTTTGGAGAAAAGCAAAGGTAGTTTATGTGGCCAAATTAATGTAGTATGTAAAACCACTCTAAGCACCAAACTAAAATTTAAAAACCTTTGTCCTCCCACCCTACATACGCTCCATTGCACTCTACAGATGCAGAAACGCAAGCTCACAGAGGATAATGAAGTGCTCAAGGCCTCCCAAGTAGTGTCAGAGTTGAGATGTGCACCCCAGGGCAGACCCCACAGCCCCTAGGCTGCCCTCACTCACCTCAGAGGTGAAGGCGATGACGAGGAGGGCGGTGCAGGCAGCGATGGCCACCAACAGGAGTGTGAGCAGCAGCGGCCCGTGCTGGCTGGTGAGGCGGTACTTCTCATAGAGCGCATCCTGGTCTGGGCCCTCCTCGCTCTCATTGAGGAAGTAGCGCCCCTTGGCCGGCATCCTCCACCTCTGGCACAGCCTCCTAGCAGTCCACTCAGGACACCCCACGGCCTGGGGAGCATCTGTCTGCTGACACGTTTCCCTCTGGGCCTAGGCCTCAGGCCTCTGTGAGCCTGACAGGCAGGGCTGGAGAGGGTCGCCCTCTGCCTGCAGCAACATGGGGCCTGAACCACTCCACCATCAGCCTTGCTCACTGCGCTGCCAGCGTATTCCTTTGCATCCAGGCCAGGCCAGCCAGACACTTGCAGTCCTCACATCTGCAGAGACACAAAGCAGACCGAGATTTGAACTGGACAGGCCAAGTCAGGGAAGGGCTGGCACCATGGGAGAGCAGCGCCAGGTTTCAGAGCCCTGGGTGTGATTTACTAACCTTAACCCAAACCTAACTTTTAGGTCCTATTTAGAGCTTTACCCACTGAAGGCCATAAAACTAGTCTCCTTTGTTTCCTAGAACTGCACTGTCCCATACAGTAGCCGCCAGTCACACAGGACTGTTGAAAATTAAAGGTGACTAAAGATGAAATTAAAAATCAGTCCTTCAGTCACAGCTGGCACAGTTCAAGGGCTCAACAGCCACACTGGTGGCTCTTACACTGGGCAGCACAGATACAGAGCACTTCTATCACCCAGAACGCTCGATGTTTACCTGTTTCACTTTCACATGTAAGTCTCTGCTCCCTCGCAATGAATTTGTATATATGGTGTGAGGCAAGGATTCAGCTTCATTTCTTTGTTCCAAGTGCATATCAAATTACCCCCAGGGAAGCCATGATCCTTTCCTCATAAAATTTCAGTGGGGCCACCTCTGTCATAAATCAGGTGACCACACATGCAGGGTCTGTTCACAGACTTTCTTCTGTCCCGATGGTCCTTGTGCACAGACCACATTCACTGGATTGCTGGGGCATTTTAGTAAATCTTGTATCTCAGACCCCCATACCTGCTTCACCTAGAGCAGCCCCTTTGCATTCATATTATGTGAAGCTTTGACATAAGACTGCATTTTTTAAAAGAACCCCCTGAAAGAATTTAAGATGTTTTCAAGCCCTGTTTCGTAGAAAAGGAACCTGAACCTCAAAGAGGGAACAAAGTGGCCTCTTTAAGTTGGGAGGAGACCCCAGCCTTTCAATGTTGAACCCACACTGGTTCTGTCTCTCACCAGCATCATTCATTTATTCCAAAAAGGCTTGTTAATCATGCCTATGGCACACCAGGCCTGCTACCTACCTGCTGTGTGCCAGGCTGGCCCTCTCTCTCCCTGGAGCTCCCAGTCCCCAAAGAAAGTCACCAAAACCTGTGCCATCCCTAGATGCAGTGATAGCAGGGCAGCTTCCACTGTTCCAGCAGGAACCTTGTCTCAAGGGAGCAGCCCTGGACCAGGAGGCCAGGCCTACAACCTCCTCCTCCAGGCCTGCCTCAGAAACTGGAACCAAGATAGCACAGAGGGCAGGAAGGCCACAGATGAGGGAAGGCCCGGGGCCGTCACAAAGGATACGCACGGCCGCAGACAGAAGCTGTGAAGGAAAGAGCCCCCAGAGGCAGAAGAGCGGGGCACCCAGGGTCCCTGAGCCCAAGTGAGGCCCCCTAGTGAATGGCCACTGCCATAAGGACCGTGAGGCCACCTGGGACCCAGGAGCCCTGCCAGGCACTCTGCCATCTAGGGGAAGTCCACAAACCCCTGGCACAAAGGCGGAGGGAGGGGCTGTTTGCCAGGGGTCTGGCTCCCTCTGCTCTCTCTGGGCCGGACCTTGGCACCTGTTTATCCTGAGCAACCCTTGCAGGAGCTGGGCCTAGGGCTGCCCAAGTACCCAAAGCACTTAGACAAGCTACATCTCTGATTTCTACATGAAGTATACTGTCGGCAGTTATGTTAAATGCTGGTAGTTAACTTTAAAAATTTGAGTGATGCTGCCCACTAGCTTGCAACCTCTAAATCTAAACAAACCAGTCTTTATTCTGCAAGGGCCATTGTTTAAGTATCAACCATATATGTCTAGCCCTGTGCTGTAGAGTTTACGAAGCAAGATAAGGTCCCTGCCCTGAGAAGTCCCCAGTGCTGGGCTCCCCAAAACAGCTCTTTACAGTCATAACACAGTGACGCTGTCATGCCAAATGCCTGCACACACACATACACACTCTTCTCCTCATAACCTGCTAAGGCCCAGATGTTACAGCCATTTTTGGAAGTGAGCCCAGACAGGTGGAGTGACTTACCTAAGATCACACCACTGAAGCTCCTTGGTAGAAGGGCTAGGACTCAAACCAGGGCTCCGCAGCCCAGTCTTGCTGTCTCACTGAATTGTGAGAGGCTTCCCACTGAGCTCCTCCCACTCCACAAAGGCAGATCCCAGAGGGAACAGGTTGCCACAAGCATGTACAGCACTGCCTGTCCCTCTACGCTGGTGCCAAACACCAGTGCCCGAGGACTGCCAGGCTGAGTAACCCAAACACCAAGGGGCCAGGGCAACTCCCTGAAGCTGCTCCATCCCCCAGGCAAAGCCCCCAGACCAGAGGCTCCGC